ATCGCACCTCGTAATTAACAAAATCTACTTTTTTAACATAAAAACTCATCCCCGTGTTCATAAAAGCCTGCTACTGGACCCTATCCTAAGTCACCCCTCACACTATTTTTATTTAATATACATTTTAATGTAATTTATCTATTCTTAAAAGTTTCAAGTTCTCATCTTGAAGTTTTCTGACTAAAATATTGTATTGTATTTCATTTCCCCTACCGTGCCTACTTTCTTTTCCATGCAGAGAGTTAATTTTAAATGTTACTACGTAATTTACAATACAATTAGAGTATCCGGGCAGACATGACACGTGTGGCAAGGTGATAAATTGTGAGTGTATCTAACACACTGCAAAACTAACTCAGTAATGTTACTTACATGGATGTTGATTATGCGAGGCAGAGGGTGTTTAGTGTTGGCACCGCCCTCGATGGCAATCCCAAGGATAGGTTTTGTCTTCTTGACAGTTATCCGAAGGTTACCCTGCTGATCAGGCACGACAAGTGCACCCTGCACAGGGACAACCACTCGACATGTAAAAGTCTTCTCTCGCCATGTGTTCTCATGTTCAGACATAACCTAAATTATATGAAGTTTCCAGTTTTCACAGCAGTTAATTTAGAGATTCTGATCTAGGTGGTCATGTAAGAAATTAGCAACGTTTCAGAGGAATCTTAAGTCGCCATCTTCGACGCACGCCCTTACATGGTGTCACAACCCAGAAGGATTATGAAGTCCCTGCAGCCTATTTATTAATAGTTGACACATGAAGTGAAATCGGAAGATTTGTTTTACATATGTGAAACCTTTAACAAGAGTGGTCAAGTGAATTCATATTCCTTACCGACTCCTCATCCACGTGGAAATCCACTTGTTCCCCTTTGGAGAGGCGCTGCATGGACTGCTGGTGTATCATAGTGGATGCTTCAGTTTCTAACAGGTCCTGGTCTTCCTTCATATCGAAGCTCCGACTCAGCTTATGTGCCAACTCCTGCAAGAACCGGGGCTCTCGTGCAGTGAAATTGTCAGTGCCTTGATCAGTTCAGGAACACGGTACTTACATCGGGGTATAACCTGTGAGATCTAAATAATGTGCCCCAGTGCAGCGAATCTTATTGATGGCATATCGGCATTGGTCCTGCCTCTCGCTCGGTTCAGGGACATTGTAAAACGATAACTCACCGAATCTATAGATCTAGGTCAACGTGTACATAATTGGGTTCCAATGCAGTAACAATGCCAGTGCACTTTCTTCGCATTTTTATACGAAAGGGTAGAGATGTAAACTGTTTCTATTCCGTTCACTTGTTTACTCTGTATACAGCTCACTTGTGCGCTACTTGGGACAAGCGACAAACCACTGCGCTGTGGTGGACGAGGAAAGGCGTGTAATTTATTTTATTTACCCTAGGAAAGTAAAGAAAATACTGCAGAAAGAATTGGCTTCGCGCTTCTGACTTTCTAAAATGTAGATAATACGAAAAGCTCGTGTTCATTCAAACATTGGCCTTGCCAAATGAGTCTTTAAATGGAGAACAGGAATTTAGAAGACTAATCATCACCTTATCATCAGCCTTGTCACGCTTGATATGTTAATATATTTGAAACAAATATTATTATTTACCGAAGCGTAATGCAGAATGCCGATGAAACTTCGTGGTGTCTACCGGAAGAATGAATGAGAACGTCACTTGGTCACATCAACTCTTCCCTCCTTCAAAGTATTAACAGCGCTAGAATGCATGACATTCCCATTCCCATGTCATATTAGGGACAAACAAACTAAACAATATAAAATTCCTATTGAAATATAGGGACTTATTTAAATTTAATGTCGACTTTCTTATATGGATTAGAGCAGATTACTGTACAAACAGAGAAAACTGTATAAAATCGTAAAATTATATGCCTGCTGCATGTTTACTAAAATTTAGTGTCAGACTCTCCGCAAGATATCTCCGAGCTTCGTCGACCGTCACAGATAAACTCGTTGGTGCCCAGCCAGCCTTGGTGCGGGGAGGAAGGGGGCGGCGAAAAAGCCATGAGGTGTCTTGCTGCTCACTTGCCCATTTCATCTTCACTATAACTAGCTCAGGCTCGCAGATTTTTGCGTTCAATTTTTAAGAGAATATTTAAAAGGAAGTAAAATAAGAAAGAAATTATAACTTATTTGATAATGGCAGACTTCGAAATACGATGCAACAACGGGATAAGGTTATATAGTACCAGGCCTCGCGTTGTTGTGGGTTCAGATCCTGATTGGTGCATAGATGTTTGTTCGCGATCTCCTGTGCTGTTTCGTTCGTGGTAGAGACCTTGCTATTAGTTAATCAAGCAATCGAGGATGTATTAAACATTCTTTCAGAATTAATTTTGAAACAGTATGCGTCCTTGAAAGACGGAGAGCAAAGTATAATAATGTATTTTACAAATCTGAGCAAAGCTTTTGGAAATTTTGAAATATGAAGGGTAGAAATAAGACGCGGTGTTATCAAACTCCTAGGAGGTGAGTGAAATTCGGTTTAATTTCACTTCATTAGCTCTTGATTTTAAGCAGTATCATGGCAGGTATTTTGGAAGAAATTGAATTATTTATGAAATTTTAATTATAAAGTCAGTTTGATAAATAATGGGTACATATTTATCAACTATAGAATATTGTATTTAACCATACTGTTACGTTAATTATAACCCTTAGTGTGATAAAACCGCCATTTACACAACGAACAGAATATGCAGCCCTTTAATATTATTAAAATATTAATCAACATTTCCAAAATTTTATGCCTGCATCTGTTAACCGCTTTGAAATAATTCTATACCGTCTACAGACCGATGGGCTGCCGAGTATAAAACAAAATTAATTATTCACACTATCGAGTCATAATAATTAAGGTTCCTGTAATCCGTTTCAAAAATATGAAGTGGTTATAATTCTAAAGTAGATAGATTGAACTCAGAAAGAGGGAACGGGAGAATTTCATTTCTGATAATCGTCGTGGTTGTCGACTACGATGACAAGGTGATGATTAACCATGAATCCACCAACTTAATTAAGACTAAAAGCTGTTGTGTCCACTTTGACTACTCCAGCACATAATAACTGGATTCGATATCGAAAAAGTACATTCCACTTCGATATATTATAGGTTGATATGTTGCTACTTATTTTAAAATTTAATGGTTTAAATAAAACTAAATGGACAAACTGTGGCCCTTATTGCTATGTTGACGAAATTTGGCTGCATTCCTATAAAGTGATTCAATATCGATAGTAATGTACGAGATGTGATTACATTTCTAGAGCCGAAATGTCGCTGTTTCGTAATCTGATAATTATGACATGTCTCCAGATCACTACTGCCATGGAGATGTTTAACAAAAATAAAATTTTTGGGGCACAACAAAACAAAGTATCACACGATGCACTGACCTAGGACGAAGGATTTTTGTTCGAGATCTTATTTTAATTACAGACCGTCGTTCTATTATACAACAGATATATGAGTAACATAATTAAAAACAAACATGCAACAGTAAGAGGAAACATAGAAAAATCCCTGAAAACGGAATTTTATTTTAATTTTACAGTTTATAATATAAATATACTTTGAAGCTAAATACCAGGGCTTAAATTGAGATTGTACTGCACATATGGAATTTGAGGTTCTCGAAGCAGTGACGACATTGATGCTGGTCTTCTGGAATGGAAGTCCGAGTGGAATTCGAGGCTGAAGACTGAGGCAGAATGTTCTTCCGAAACGTTTATCTACTAGTACCTTCATATCTAGAAGACAGAAAGACTTCACAACCCAGAAGGCCAACATCGGCATGGAATTAGGCAGTTTTTCATATTTATAAAATATAAAATTTTAATTAACAATTTAAACCCTGATAAAAGTTATAAAACAACTTATCTCGAACAAAAGAAGTAACTTATTATGTAATGAAGAGTAAGAATATGGACAGAATAAATTTTAAAGTATAACCTGTTTCATCAACTTCCGTAACCGTCAGATGTCAGCATCAATTTAATAACTAAGAACTTCAAACGTTGGAGAGACAAATCGCTAAGATGGCGAAAGATAATATACAACACACGGCCAGAGAAAACAACAAATAATTAAGAGCGATGAATTTATGTGCTCTGAAACAAGAAATTTAGTTATCAGCTACTAAAGAAAGACACTCAAATACTATACTAAAATACGAAGCATTTTTTCGGTGTTGCTTGAAAATGTTTCGCCCATATTGCGGGAGTTGATGAAACAGATTTTTTCATAAATGTGGATCAGAACCAATTAATGTGCTGGGAAGAGCAAACGATTAGGTAACGACTCTACTCCCCGTTTGCCATTGTCATCTTCAGGGCGACTGTAATATCGAGTAATACCACAAAGGTTCAATTAGGAATCAAAAAGTTGTCTCATAAATGTTTTACGGGTATCTTTTGTGTTAACAAGTCTCCATGAAAGGCATGTGTCCCACTTAAACCACACAAATTATTTAGATATTCTCATATTTCCCACAAAGTAAACAGATTAGTAACACCAGTTTTAATTAATTTTGTTTCGGGGGCTCTGGAGTTAAACTTGTTTCACATTGCTAATCAAATTTTCTCTTGGCTTATGTTCATCCATGAAAATTACAGAATTACCATAAATGACAAGTTGAAATTGCGGAAGGAAAGTGTCCTGGCCTGTACAAAGTGCCGACAACTTTTCAATAACGCTACCGTAATTGTGCACTGTTTTATTAAATTTCATGAAACAGAGCAACAAACCTTTACCCAATAACGAGATTTTAATATTACATGTCTTCATACAAAAACATTTTGTTTCATTAAATTTTTTGCGATTATTTTGACTTATGTGTAGACAATTTTTCTTATTTATATTGATGTTACTCAACAGCCATTCTCGCTCTAGCTGATTCTAAAACATGTGAAGGGTCGCATAAAAAATTTTGAGGGCCACAGGTTACCGATTCGTGGTCTATGTGGTGAATATGATATATAGAATCTTATTAATTTTATAGACTTTCGGCGATATGAAATGAACATATTCCAACACTCCAATAGCATTGTATATAATTCCAATAATAAATAAAGCCTACTGCAGACCGGGATTCGATTCCTAGCAAGGACAGGTATAAGACAGCCGAAGCTTAAAGCTGATCACCCACCACTATTTAATACCGACATTGAGAATGTGTGGGGTTATATTTCTAGATCCACAGACGTTTACAGATGTGGTGTTAAATCGAATACAAGGACAATTTTAAATTTAACTTCTTAGGATGGATAAGTGTACATGGAGACAATGTCGGGTTAGGATGGATAAGTGTACATGGAGACAACGGCGGGTTTTAGCGAATATGATGATAAAGATTTGCGTTCTTTAAAAACAGGGACCATTTCGCCAGAAACGTAACTTTCAGCTGTTTAAGACAATAAAATTAGTCTGTACGTTTTATGATTATGCAAGTGACTGAGTCACTGTGCATTACCAAACCGTTGCTCTGTCCACCTACAAACGATACACACACACAGACTGACAGAACCACAACATTGAGAGGCGTGAGCGAAAAATATCAGCAAACAGCGTAAATGGAAGTTACTCCCATGCGCTAACATCCAATTAAGTAATTAATTATAAAAATCAATTAATTGTGTATTCTTCTACCGTACTACGTTTACATGTCAATACTTTGGTTTTCTGTACCAGTTTACAAGGCCTCGTACAACTCACACATTGGTAAATATACGTACCGCCTGCTTTAACCACCAGTAACTTGGCATTAAGCGACACAAAATGTATCTGTAAGTCTCATGCCGTTCCCATGATAAGCTGACTTTTCTCTGTCGAATTATTGTAACGGAAAGGTGATTAATTCTTAGAGGTAGGATTAAAAATTTTAAACATCATATTATTTATATGGCCTTCCTATTTTACAGGAATAAGCCATTTCTATATCCTGATGTGCGGAATA